TAGCATCTTGGTAACAATGGGACATCCTGGAAACGAGGCATTCCATCTTAGTCCTTACGAGTGACCAACGCTTTCTGCATTTTGATATGAATAGTTGTAGATGTCTATGGGCCACAGCAACCACTTATCATCAGGTGGACTGTGTGCTCGTTTGTCACTCTAATCTTACAAAAAAATTATCTGCGGACCCAACTCGCCTGCTGAGCGTGACAACCATGGCTAAATCACCCCACCAGGTAGGTAGTCTGTGAGGGAGGCCTTTGTGTGTGTGTGTGGCCTTTTATAGGCTGTAATAGATGGATGTATAGAAGGTAATCTACCAGGAGCCCATGACGCACTGAGAGGTGAAATTATTAAATCAACATTAAACATTACAACTATGTAGAAGATAATCTACCAGGAGCACATGACCCACTGAGAGGTGAAATTATTAAATCAATAGTAACACTATGTATAGAAGATAATCTACCAGGAGCACATGACCCACTGAGAGGTGAAATTATTAAATCAACAGTAACATTACAACTATGTAGAAGATAATCTACCAGGAGCACATGACCCACTGAGAGGTGAAATTATTAAATCAACAGTAACATTACAACTATGTAGAAGATAATCTACCAGGAGCGCATGACCCACTGAGAGGTGAAATTATTAAATCAATAGTAACACTATGTATAGAAGATAATCTACCAGGAGCATATGACCCACTGAGAGGTGAAATTATTAAATCAACAGTAACATTACAACTATGTAGGAAATCTACCAGGAGCACATGACCCACTGAGAGGTGAAATTATTAAATCAACAGTAACATTACAACTATGTAGAAGATAATCTACCAGGAGCACATGACATGCCACTGAGATGTGAAATTATTAAATCAACAGTAACATTACAACTATGTAGAAGATAATCTACCAGGAGCACATGACACACTGAGAGTTGAAAATTTTAAATCAACAGTAATATTACAACTGTAGCAAAATCCCTAATATGACAAAATCTATGGGGGAACCTTTGTTCAGTGGACTTTTATAGGCTGTAATGACGCTGTGAAGTTTAGTATTCCTCTCAGTGGGTCATGTGCTCCCATATATCCCGTATATCCCAGATGACTTTCTCCTGGCATTGCTTTCTGATTGTTAGTAAAGTTTCTTTCTAATAATAATTGGTCCAGCCAGTGCGACAGATAGACAAAAACTTCAAAAATGTTAAATAGTCCCCTCAGCTCAATATAAGGCAGTTGTTTGTTTTATTTACATGTATATAAAGACCGAGGCACCATCCTAACCTCTCAGTTTCAAACTACGTTCAGTTCTCCATAACAAAGTACTTCGTTTTCAAAAGTCACCTTCCAATAATTTTTCATCGTATACCATATGATGTGTATATGTGATCGTGATTACACGTTTTGATAATAGTAAATTGCAAGTCCATTAGAAGAAATACATTGAAGTATTGCTTAAAATAATTTATTGTTTTACTTTGTTTTTATAATAATGTCCTCTAGACCGAATCACGTATATATATATATATATATATATATATATATATATATATATATATATATATATATTTGTACTGGTACTGCATGAACTTTATTACCGTCTGAAAAAAATAGGGTGTAACACATATGAACGGAGTAAAATCCTATGGCACTAATATTTTACAAAGATAAAAATTAATAGAATTATTATTTACGGATTTTATCGCGTCCACTCCGTACTGGTTCACATAATGATTTCTTAAATTTACGCGAACACTACATATTGAATAAAACTATTATTTACTGATTTTATCGCGTTTTATTACTTTAACTTTTTTTTATTATCCCGGCGTTTCCCGACCGACGCTCCGGGAAGTCTACAGTCTGTGAACATGTTCAAGATCGTCCCTACCATTACATTAGATTTGATAAACCACAAATCCTCGCATAAGAACACCGATTCCTACCAAGCATGATACAAGCATGATATAGTAGTAACGGATATGCCACTACACGGGATACTCAAACTTCACAATGTCAAAACTTATGCAACTAGTATGCCCCAAACTCAAACTTTGACATTGTAGAGTTTAAGCTTAAACAGGAGTTTGTTACTGAATATTGGCCTGATAGTCCGATAGAGCTGCAAACTGACACGACCGGAGAGACATCAGGCGCGGAATAAACGTTTTTATGCGCTTCCGAGTCACGAGTAAAATACATAAAATAGTTGTTTTTGAAGTGAAAGCTTCTTTAGGCACGTTGGGCACTTTTGGTATGAAGAAAACACTGAACTCGCGTGACCGTCACGCTCAAATACATAAAATTGAAGAAAGTAATGTTGAAAATTTTTGTATACGAGGGGTGATCCAAAAGTAATGATAATGAAAATAAAACACGGTAATTAAAGTTGAAATAATAATTTATTTTTCTACATAGTCTCCTAACAAATCAATACGTTTAGTCCATCTTTTTTCTAAACCCGGGATTCCCTTTGAAAAAAATTCTTTGTCTTGACCCTCCCAAAACGCTTCAACAGCGGCCATTACTTCGCTATCGTCTTCGAATTTCTTGCCTCGGAGGCGTTCTTGAGCCGAGGAAAGAGGTAGAAGTCACTAGGAGCTAGATCTGGCGAATAGGCAGGGTGTTCGAATCCCGTTTCTTGAATGGCAGCCATCGCAACTGCGGCTTTGTGAGCCGTTGCGTTGTCTTGGTGAAACAGCACTCCAGCTCGGAGATTTTCGCGTCTTTTTTCCTTAATGGCCTCCCGTAATATTGTTATTTGGTCTGCGTAGTAAGAGCCCGTAATATGGCATGGCCTTTTCCAAATATTCCACCATAATGCCTTGAGCGTCCCAAAAAACAGATGCCATAACCTTTCCCGCCGAACTTGAAACTTTGAATTTCTTTGGCGTCGGTGAGGAGGCTCGCTTCCAAGTCATCGATTGTTGTTTCGTTTCAGGATCAAAATGGTGGATCCAGGTCTCGTCCATAGTCACAAAACGGAACAAAAAATTTTCTTGCTCTGCTTGGAACTTTTCGAGATTGACCCTCGAAATGTCAACTCGATTTTTTTTGCTCGTCGGTTAGCATTCTGGGTACCCAACGCGCAGAGACCTTTTTCATATGCAACTCGTTCGCAAGATTCTTTGAACGCTGCCATATGAGATCCCTGTGACCTCAGCTTCATGCCTGATGGTCACTCTTCGATCTGCCAACACAACATCTTCGACTTTTTTCACGTTGTCTTCAGTGAGGGACGTGGATGGGCGTCCTTCGCGATGTTCATCTTCAGTGGATGTTCTGCCCAGTTTAAACTCCTTGGCCCAGCGTGCAACTGTAGAATATGGAGGAGCAGAGTCCCCCAATGTTTCCACTAAGTCACTGTGTATGTCTTTTGAAGACATTTTTTTAAAACAGAGGTACTTGATGACAGCTCTAATTTCGTTTTTCTCCATGTTGATGTTATCTCTTTGACAGTTCGTATTCAAATGAATGTATCTCCCGGAAATCGTGATCTATTTATATGATTTTTTTTATGCTGACGTGGTGAGTATATAAGCAAGCAAAAAATATTTTTTCTGATTTTTATGCGGACCTAATAACGATTTTCATTACTTTTGGACAACTCTTTTTTCATGTTCAATAAATGAAAATGTTATTACTATATTAATACGTTTATGAAAATAATTTCTAATAAAAAATACTTCCTAAAAATATTTCTTAACAACCCAAAAATAATGTTAACTGACGAGCAGCCGTACGGCTGAATTTTTTTGATAAATAAATAATTATAGTTCGTGCCAAATCGCATTGAAAAAACCAGACAATGACCTTTCGGTCTTTTAACCAGGGGCTACAAACCTTCAATACATAGGCACTTTTTATTTGTAGTACTTTCTTTATTTATAATGACTTTTTTTATTTATTTTTATAAGTATTGATATAATTTATATTTATTAACATTTATATAAAAGAGCGCTGTAGAAGAAAAATCATCTATTGTTATAAAGTACTTTATTCATTTAACAACAAAAAGCATTAATTTATAACACGTATGAAGATTCGAGTGATAACGAAGCCGAATAAGTACGTACTTATTCAAAACTTTATTTTCAATATTATTTACGAACTTTATTTTTATTCGGTGCATACGGGCCGGCCCTAAAAAAGTGACACATCTCTGTCTGCCATTGTCACGTTTCTTTTAAAACGAACTGACGTAACGCGCGTTTTATTTATTGCATGATGGGATGAATTTGCAAAAGCTCAATATGGTGATTATATTGCTTCAAATATTTTTTTAAATTTGAAACTGTTATTAAATGAATTGCTGCGTTACTTAACATAAATTAAAATATAACACGTTTTTCGCGATGTACCGTAAGATTTTACGATATACATAGGAACCACAGACAATATTATTTAAGAAACAAAAAAAAACAAAACATATGTGCTGACCTAGAAGTGTGAATAATATCAATATTTAAATATTGTTATCACATCTAAATTGCGATTTTGTAAGTTACGCCTTTTAACACTCGGCTCATATCTGAGGTCATTGTCTGTTTTTCTCAATCGATTTGGCACAAACTATAATGTTACAAGCAAGTACACAGTTCACCTGAGCGCAAGTGGATATTGTGTCCCATAGACTAAACTTTTGCCAACATTTATCCTCAATTAAGAATCAAAATGCAGATGCGTTGTCACCCGTGAGGACTAAGATGAAATGCCTCGTATCCAGTAAAAAGAGTCTCCGATTCTCTAAATCACCATCCAGAACACAGGAACATTAAGCTTCTTTTTCACGCTAGTAATCTGTGAGAGCGTGGTTCCGGGATGTGTGTCCTTGTTCAGTTTATGTGTGTAAACTGCCTCCACGATACAGGAGAACAATCATATAAGGGTGACGTTTATTACAAAAGAAAAAAATTAAAACACCAAAAATAAATTTCGTAAAATTACATACTCATTTATACAAATATACAACAGTATGTTTCAATTCTTTCTAATCATCTCCTTCGTACGCCTTTAGTAAGTTCCTGTTCATCTTAAAGAACAGGTCCCAGAAAGCCATGCGGTCGTGGAACGGTCTCCTCTTCATAGTCAGTTCCTTGTCTATGTCTAGGTAATGTAAAACGTCCTTCTCTACTGGCGTCCATTTCACCGGCAACAGATCCGATGTTTCAGGAGTGGGGTCTCTGAAAGTTACAAGTAATAAGAATGTGTTAAATGATGTTGTAAAATAAAATTGTATGGTACATAATATTCGAGAGAACTCCAGGGCTTAAGCGCTCGCTATGAATGAAAAGCAAGGAAAAAGAAAGAACATGGGGTTTTTTTCTGTTTTTTAAATTTTTTTTCATTTTATTTATTTAAAAAAATAAAAAAAAAAAAAACAAACACTCAAAAAAAAAAAAAAAAAGGGGGGGTTGTTTTTCCTTGGGTGCTGTATTCGTTGTTGCAACTTACTTTTAGAAAACATTCATTTTACAAAAAAAAAAAAAAATTAAACAAAGTATTAAATAATAACATAAGAGTTAAATTTTAACAACACGCGTTGATCAGGAGCTGTGATGATCCTGATAATTATTTTATTTTATCCTGGTGATCGTGATCAGGACACAAGGATAAAGTTATTAAATTTTGTATTGCTATCGGTTCTTGATACGAGTGCAAATTTTCAAGTCAATCGACAATTTGGCCCAAATTACATTGAAAGATTCCGTTACATAGATAGATACACAATAAGTTAATTAAAAATATACGGATTGCACCGACAAAGAGGGCACAGACTCAGCGCAATGCTGCAGTAACAGAGTTACCGCAGCGATGACATTCTGTCGGAGCCGCATAAGTCGACTCCCGACGCTGGACATAATTTATTACCTATTTTATAACTTAAAATCACTAAGTACTGTAAAGGTACATAAGTAAAGAAACCAACCAGAGGGGAAGCTACATACAATATGTACACAATAAAACTATGTACTAACATTGATAGGTATGTGAGAATGTGTTAGACAGGTATGTCACCGAATGGTGAAGTCGGTCTTACCTACTATATAGTATAAGTTATAATTAATATACATGTTGTTTTATACTATATAATATATTTATTTTTACATTAAATTTTACACATGTATCATGTGACAACCCTATCAGAATAGGTAAATATTTTCGATATTGCTAGGAAGCTTTCCCTCTGACCTTACTCTTTATTCCCTAACCTATTAAGTGTACCACTTAGGCTTTAAATAGGGTTTAGAAATGCCTTATTTTTAACCGCCAACGCAAAAAAACCCCTCTATTTCTGTTATATGTTCAACGTGTGTATCTATGTGTCTTTAAAATCGTAGCACACAAACGGTTTAGCCGATTTAGATTTAGTTTTCTTTGTTTGAAAGGTATCTTGAACGAGTGTTTTAACTATGATTCAATAAAATCTGTTTTCCGTTGCCGTTTGAAGATTATCAGCTCTTTTTGGTAATTCAATGACCCGCTTGATATGCAGTTATATAATACGTTTGTTTATAACTACACGGGTTAACTGTGTTCAGTAAAATCACACATGGTATGGTGCAACTATATGTAAAAAAATTTGTTCCTAAAGCAGGAACTATGTACAAACTTGCCGTAATTTCCAATTCAACGCAAGCGGAGTCGCGAGCGGTCTCTAGTTAAAATATACATTTGAAGATGTTACAGCAGCTAGGCGTGTACTTGATTCGCTTTATCATTAAGGCGTGTTGCAATTTGATACGCCGGATATAGCAACTAAACGTTGAAGGTCGATATGAAACTTATCAAGATTAAGATATTTTTGTATAAATTTGAAGTTACGAACGAATTTACAGTCCACCTGATTGTAATTGAAACACTAAACACTTCTAGTCCATTTAGGTCTTCCATGAAATTATATAAAACTACCTGACATATTAAAAAATGAAAATAGTTTCATCATATTTACCAAAAAATTAAGAGTTCGGATGTGAGGACCAACGGCTTTACGTGCTTTCCGAGGCACGGGGGTTAGACACTGCCAACTGACTCCGATCCTGACTGATGCTGCTACCGAGAAGTTCTTGACAGAAATACCCGATCACGCAGTAGTGCTTACGAATACTGGATCAAGGATGCGATCAAAAGTCTAGCAAAGTTTAATGATTAACAGCCTTACTCACAAAAGTTAATGTAAGAGATAAAATAGAACGGAAATATTGATCTCTCTCTATCTCTTTCTCTCTTCACTAAATAAAATATAGAAAGAGAATGAGAGAACAAAGGGACAGGATTATCAACTATCATAAGTAAGACTAAGTTTTTATTAGTTATGGCGCTTAGATTTATATATGTGCTATTTTTACGTACCCATATTTCGCGAAATTCGTCCACAACGTCGTGATTCTGTCAATGACGAGCTGATCTTCATCCGATGGAGTGTCCAATATTGATACATCAAAGAGGTAGCCAATTTCGTCAGCGTGGGCTGCACCATCTTCAGTTATATTATTTTTGAATTTTACGAAGTTTCTGCCGCCTGAGTATGAAAATATATAGTGGTAGACCGTTCCATCGTTTTCTATATATTTCTGTAAACTTCTGTGTACTGGGTGGTTGAAGGAAAAGTCAGATTCAAAGTCCATCAGAACCCATTTTAGGTCAGCGCTCATATCCTCATCGCCGACATAAAACTGCCGAACCAGTGTTATTAGGTCTTCATTGTCGCTTAAATCGAAAATCTTTTCCAAGTTTTCCCTAAACACATTATCTTCGTTGCCTGATGCTTTGTTTCCATACCAAGTGAGCATTTCTCTGTTATTGTAGCCGGAGAGAATTTTTACACCCTTAGCTTTTGGTATCTGGCTATTAATAGGGTGTCCTTTCACAAGTTTCTCCACCCCATCGAAGTCTTTTTCAACACATGGAAGGAACTTAAGAGAGAGATCTGTCACAGCCGCTATAACTAGTTTCGGTTCGACTGTTGATAGGAAGGTCAGGGCGTCTGCGTTGTCTTTAGCTTCATAGCCAAGATGTTCGGCAATTGTCATTGGAGCTCTTGTGTCTGCTTCTGCCATCGCCGACGGGGACAGGATTGTTCCGCTCTGCATTATAACTTTATCGAACAATTTCTCCTGCGCAGAGTGGAGATGGAAGTCAACAGACATTCCTCCGGCACTCTCTCCTATTATCGTTATCTTGTTTACGTCACCTCCGAATTCTTCGATATTGTCCTTCACCCATCGCAAAGCGCTTAGTTGATCTTTCAGACCTTGATTGCCGGGTATCTCCGGTGTGTCCAGACACATGAAGCCATAAGGACCCAGTCGGTAGTTGATTGTGACCAGAATGATGTCATTTCTCACTAAATACTTGGGCCCATATAGGAAGCGTCCGGCTAAACCGATTTCAAATCTTCCTCCATATATCCAAACGAGGACTGGGAGACTGTTTCTGGTAGTAGCTTTGTTGGGTACGTATATATTGAGGTGAAGACAGTCTAGGGATCCTACTATTTGGTTTTCAAAATCTTCGACTTGCGGACATATTGCAGAGTCGTCGTAGGCCTCGAAGACATCGTCGAAATCGGGGGAAGGTAAAGACGGCTGTAAATAAATACATATTGTGACATTACATCATTAACTTCCAAAATCCAAAAAAGATGGCGCTGTGCGTAGATAAATCACGCTAACAAGATGTACTCCGAGTTGTTATAAAGGGTTCGAACCCTACTTTTGTTGAGATGGCTTCACAAGGGATTCCTAAACCGCAAAATAGTTGCTTCCACCTGGTGGGACAGTATATTTGAACGTTAAGGAACAACGCTCCTACAGAGGTGGCAAACCTTTCGCTTCCCTCATGGCACTTAATGTTACATAGGACGTTGCATAAGCTGTATTATTGTAGAGTGGTACGTGTCTCGTACATTAAAAGCTAGTTTTCGTATCTCCGTCTATTATTACTCGCCGTCCGGGCTGCCCTCTCGAATCACTACAATATCACATATGTTTCTGCTGCGAGTTCTGGTGTAGAAAAAATGGAGAAGATTTTTTATTATATAGAGATATAGAAAGTGTTGTTTTTGTTGTTTCTGGTACGTAGGTGCACAATATGACAAGAGATTAATGTCACTTATTCTGTCATTATTTTATAGTTTTGTGCAAAAACCGGAGTAGTGGCGATATAAGAATATTGCCCCATATTATCCCGTGGGTATCGTAAGAGACGACAGAGAGAAATTAAATAGATCACCTTCCTGATAACAGCTTAAAATTATAAAAAACTGCGGTTGCCAACTCTCCTCCCAAGCCTGGCAAATATGGCAAAATTCCTTCTATGAGGAAATATATGGGGGAGGGCGGTGTTGAGATGTTCAGTAGTGGACTCCTGTAGGCTGTTATGGATGTATGGTGCATCAACTTACCCCGAACGGATTGCTCTGGTTAACCCTCGCGTAGGGAATGCCCATGAACATGGAGTAGTCCCCATCAGACGCCTGGAGACCCCGGATCAGGCCCTTCTTTGTGTTCACTAGCGGGTCCAACCTCGATGACCCCCACACTGCACTAACCAAGATGAGATTTAACAGTACAACCTTCATCTCTGCGGTCTCTCGGGAAAAACATGTTCAGTGGCTTTCGAGCACTCGTTTTAAGATCAAATAGTATCTCAAGTGTTTGATAAGATGGTTGTGTGCCAGTCATACTTATCTCATACGTATGAATATAGTGCATCTATATCTATAAAATAAATAAAATTGAAGTGTCTGTTTGTAATGCCTAACAGCTTTTTACTAAATGCGTATGCAATTATATACGGTACTTATAACAAAAACAAAATTTTAAGAATTTTTGCCTGTGTGTCTGTCAGTTTGTTCCCGCTAATTTCCGAAAAGGCTGGACCGATTTTCACGGGACTTTCACTGGCAGATAGCTGATGTTATAACGAGTACCTTTTATCTTAGAGAAATAAATTAAAACACTTAATTAAACCCGGGCAACAGCTAGTCCGTAATATTGAAATAACTGGCTCTAATCGCGCTTAGGGTGGTTTTTGTATGCTGTCTCTACATCCGGATGACATCCGGCATCCGGCTCGACCGGGGAAGGACCACGCTCTCACAGAATATCAGTTAATACTGTTGGTGTTTCGTATGGTGAACGTAGAGAACCGGAGACCTTTTTTACTGGTTACGAGGCATTCCGTTTTAGTCCTCAGGGGTGACAACGCACCTGCGTTTTGATTCTTAATCGAGGATAAATGTAGATGTCTATGGGCCACAGCATCCACTTAACATCAGGTGGACTGTGTGCTCGTTTGTCACTGTTATTCTATAAAAAAAATATGGGTCTTGCATATTTACTGGGACATTGTTCTAAAAGCGTATACATTGCAGTCTAGTAACTGGTATAACTTTTTTAACTTCACGGATCCACTGCATTCGAAAGAGTTATATTGCTATTAGATTTCATTATTGACTTGGTATCAATTCGGCTCGATAGATTTTGAGAAATTTTTTCAAAAGTGTTTTTTTGATATAGCTTTTAAACTAATTTATCGATCGATTGTAAAATCTAATCAGCTCTTAACCTTAAAAAACAACATCAGTTGCCGCAAACCGCATCAAAATCGGTTCATTCGTTCAAGAGAAACATCGAAAAATTTCTCTAAGAGTTCAAAAAAATGTCAAATAGGTAGACTTTGGAGCGCTTTGCATTTGAAATTACCAAGAAGTTGCAGGGTTGGTCTGAGGGTCAATCGTGTTTTTTTTTAAAGAATACTAGTAACGCTGTTAAAATTGCTATTACTCCCAATAACCACTCTAAGTAAGCTGAAAATACTACAGTATTTTTTTATAGAATGAAGCTGACATACGAGTACACAGTCCACCTGATGGTAAATGTGGCCCATAGACAACCACATTTATCCTCGATTAAGAATCAAAACGCAGATGCGTTGTCACCCCTGAGGACTAAGATGGAATGCCTCCTTTCCAGTAAAAAAGGGTCTACATTCACCATACAAAACACAGCAGTATTAAGCAGGTATTTTACGTTGGTATTCTGTGAGAGCGTGGTCCTTCCCCGGTCGAGCCGACCCATTCGTGCTACAACCATAATATATAGCTGCAACGTGGCTCGGCACTCATAAATCTGGCACGTATAAAAAGTACTCTGTAGTAGAGAGACCCTGACATTAACTTATTTTGACTCGATATTCAAATCGGGATTGCATTATCAACAGTCGCGTTAACGATCGCTAGACAAATAAGGTAATTGAAATATTTTTATTATGTACTTTACATTAATGAAAAACTGGAAGTGAATAATGTTAGGGCTGAATCTGAACGACAAGGTGAGAAATTGTGTAACAGAAACAGAAACTTTTTTATTCAATGTAGATTATAAGCAATACTTATTGAAAGTCAATTTTTTCATTTACCACTGGTTCGCATAAAAAACCTCTGTCCTGGGAAGAACCAGCAGGAAACCCAGCGGGACTATTTTTTTTCTCAAATAATAGCTTACAATCATGTTTACAATTAACAACACAACAATACAAACTTAGTTTAATAAAATTTTTGAACTTTGCGTATGACAAATTTTGTATATTTTCTGAGATTTTGTTGTAAAAGCGTATACATCGCCCCAAGAATGAATTACTGACTCGGTGGGGTCGAGTAACTGGTACTACTAGCTTGTGTCTGTTCCTAGAATTTGCAGAATGAATATCACTTATTTTTGCAAAACTACGTTTATTCTTGTGTACGTACATTACATTTTCATAAATATATTGAGAGGCCAGAGTTAATATATAAATTTCCTTAAATTTTTGTCTCAGTGACTCTTTTGGTTTTAAATTATATATTGCTCTAATGGCTCTCTTCTCTAAAATAAATATAATTTCAGTGTCAGTCGCGTGTCCCCATAGCAAAATACCATACGATATAATGCTAGGAAATAACTAAAGTAAACTATTCTTGCTGTTTCAACACTGGTAAGAGTTCTAATCTTTTTTACAGCATATGCTGCAGAACTAAGTCTGCTAGCTAGTTTTGATATATGGGGGAACCATTGAAGCTTTGCCTCTAGTGGGATTCCAAGAAAAATGGTGGTACCAACAAGACTCAGTTCTTCCCCATTTAAAATTACATTCGTATTAACATGTTTGACATTAGGAGTTACAAATTTCATACATTTAGTTTTAGTTCCATTTAAATGCAAATTATTAATATTAAACCAATTGACTACCTTAGCTATAGCATTATTTACTTCGTCGTAATTTAATAACTGTCGTTTTAATTTGAAAATTAATGAAGTATCATCAGCAAATAATACTATATCATGGTTATCCCCTACTATGTAAGGTAAGTCATTAATATATACAAGAAACAGAAAGGGGCCGAGAATTGAGCCCTGAGGCACGCCCATTTGTACAGTCGACCCGGAAGAACTCATACTATTAATTACAACTTTTTACGTTCTGTCACTTAAATATGAAATAATTAATTTAAGAGCATCACTTCTTACACCGTAGTGTTGAAGTTTCCTGATTAATGTTTCATGGTGAACACAATCGAAGACCTTGGATAGGTCACAGAATATACTCAAAGCATCCTGTGTATTCTCCCATGCATTAAAGATATATTTAATAAGCTCAACACCAGTTGTTGAGTGACCCCTTGTGAACCCGAATTGATTTTTATGAAGTAAATTATTTACATTAAAAAAATTTTACATTTGATCAAGAATAATTTTTTTTTAAATTTTCAAAAGTGTTGGCAGTATAGAAATAGGTCTAAAATTAGCGTGGTCCAATGTACTGCCAGATTTAAATAAAGGTATTACTTTACTATGCTTCATTAAATCAGGAAACACACCAGATTTGATACTAGTATTAAAAATAATAGATAGTTGAGGTGCGATTGCATCTATTATAGACGCAATAACTTTATCGGAAATCCCCCACAGATCGGCGGTTTTCTTAATATCAATAGTCTTAAAGTATTTTAGAATATCTTTTGATGTAACTTTATGAAATGTAAAATTCTTTGTACACGCATTTACATTCTGTTTAAGTAATGATTCGGTGACGGCAGGAGAAGAATTCAGTGACTTAGTGGTTAAGATAGGAATATCAGTAAAATATTTCTCAAAAACCATTGCAACGTCCTGATCTGATTCAATTAATTTATTTTTAAAACTTAACTGATAGTTCGAATTGCGAGAGCTAACCTTCCCAATTTCACTATTAATTATACTCCATGTCATTTTAATTTTATTAGAAGCCGTCTTTAATTTTGTTTATTTTGTTGCTCAAATACAATGACTTGGTTATGGAGCACACTCTTTTAAATATTTTGGAATATTTTTTTACATATTCCCTAAATTCGACGCTAGGATTATATGACCTTTCATTGTAACGTTCATATAACCTTTGTCTACTCTTATGGACTCCTACTGTCGCCCACTCATTAAATGCCTTGCGATTGTTCAAGGGGAATGTTTTAGAAGTAAAAGTATTATTAAATTCATTGCAAATAAGGTTAAATAATGTTCCATACAAAAAATCTGGATTATTTTGGTACGAAAGTGATGGAAGTTTTTTTAATATGTTGCGACGTGCATTTACTGGAACAAACACTACTTTTTTATTTACTTGCTTTTTGTGAACATAAGGTAACGAAACTAATTGTCCACTGTGATCAGAGCTCAATTTTTGAATAATACATTTATTGAACGGCTTAACATTTGTAAAAATGTTATCTATACATGTTGCACTAGATTCAGCAATACGCGTTGGCTCCAAAAATAAATTAAAAAGACCATAGGATTTAAACAATGGTCTAAATTTAATATTGGTGGAGGAAGTTTCTAGGAGATTGATATTAAAGTCTCCACATATTACAACAGTTTTATTCTGTTTATTGAGCTTAGCAAAAACATGCTCCAAATATTTTTCAAAAGTATCATATAAAGTACATGGGGGTCTGTAAACGCTTACAACAATGAGGTGCTCAAACTCAACACATGCTATTTCTACAGTTCGCTCAACAGAGAGGCTCACAATATCTTTACGTTCTTTACATGATAATAATTTACTAACTAAAATTAAGGAGCCACCTCTTAAAACCGTTTCTCTATTGAAAGAACTAACCACCTGGTGATTACTGAAGTTAAACATTAAATTATGAGTTTTTAACCAATGTTCAGTAATACATAAAATATGAATATTGTTACTATTTAAAAACAATTCAATTGATTTCTTTTGAAATTTACGCGAACACTATAAATTGATTATAACTACTTTTACGGATTTTATCGCGTTTTATTTATATTAATTTTAATACCCGACCGACCCCTTTTTCAGTGAAAAAGCTGAAGGTACTCCGGGTTAACTTTGACATCGGGACGTCAGTCACCTCAGTCCCCCGTGACCATGGGTGCTGGAAAGCACCCGAAACGTCGGGTATTAAAATTAATATAAATAAAACGCGATAAAATCCGTAAAAGTAGTTTTAATCAACAATTCAATTTCTAGCTCTTTGCCTATCATGCCTTGTATATTCTGATGCACCCGGATGTGTGGTTTGCAAGATGA